TGCGCCAGATGGACCACACCACATATCTTACACCTCACAGCTGAAGTCACACAGCTTGCACCAGATAGTTCGCACCACGCAGCTTATATACACAACCACAGGACTCACTATTTGGGGTCCACGCTGGCGAACATAGCTTGCCGCATTCTAATGTGAGCAGCGCTCTCTTCGGAAGCTTGACTGGGAGCGGTCCACACCAAGACTCCCTCCCTCCACTCTCGTTCCCTCTTCCCTCCTCTCCCGCTCCCTCCTCCCTCAGTCGCTAGTCGCTCCGCGTTCATTCCCTCGCTAGAATTTGCCCCGCGGCTGCGTCAGTAAACTGTTGTAGCCACACATAGACCACACTGGGACACCGATTTGCGTCAGTAAACTGATGTAGCCACACGCATACCAAAATGGGACACCAATGTACGTCAGAAAATTGTTGTAGCCACACAAAAACCAAACTGGGGCACCGCTTTGCGTCAATAAACTGTTGTAGCCACACACACAGACCAAATCCGGGACACCGGTTTGCGTCAGTAAACTGATGTAGACACACACAGACCAAACTGGGACACCGATTTGCGTCAGTAAGCTGTTGTAGCGACACACAGACCAAACTGGGACACCGATTTGCGTCAGTAAACTGCTGTAGCCACTCACAGACCACACTGGGACACCGATTTGCGTCAGTAACTGTAGCCACACACGAACCAAACTGGGAAAAACCGAGCGACCGAGGGCCAGCCGAGGGCCTGGCGCGAACACACCAGCCGACGGACTACCGAAACAAAAAACATATCCAACAAGGACGGAGCAGACGAGAGACCGAGCGACCGAGGGCCAGCAGAGGGCCAGGCGCGACCACAGCAACCGACGGACAGGACAACCGACGGACAACCGAAAAATAACCAGAACCAGCCAGGAAGGGGCAGACGAAAGACCGATGGGCCAGCCGAGGGCCAGGCGCGACCACAGCAACCGACGGACAACCGGCGGACAACCGAAATATGGTCGAAACCAGCCAGGAAGGGACAGACGAGATACCGAGCGACCGAGGGCCAACCGAGGGCCAAGCGCGACCACAACAACCGACAGACAACCGACACAAAACCCAAAAAGCAGCCAGGAAGGGGCAAACAAGAAACCGAACGACCGAGGGCCGCCCGAAACCCAGGCGCGAACACAGCAATCGACGGACAACCGACGGACATAACCAAAGCCAGCCAAGAAGGGGCAGACGTGAGACCGAGCGACCGAGGGCCAGCCGAGGGCCAGGCGCGACCACAGCAACCGACGGACAACAGAAAAATAACCAAAAGCAGCCAAAGAGGGGCAGACGAGAGACCGAGCGACCGAGGGCCAGCCGAGGGCCTGGCGCGAACACACCAGCCGACGGACAACCGACGGACGACCGAAAAATAACCAAAACCTGCCAGGAAAGAACAGACGAGAGACCGAGCGATCGCGGGCCAGCCGAGGGCCAGGCGCGACCACAGCTACCGACGGACAACCGACAGACAATCGAAAAATAACCAAAACCAGCCAGGAAGCGGCAAACGAAGAACCGAGCGACCGAGGGCCAGCCGAGGGCCAGGCGCGACCACAGCAACCGACGGGCAACCGATGGACAACCGAAAAATAACAAAAACCAGCCAAGAACGGCCAGACGAGAAACCGAGCGACCGAGGGCCAGCCGAGGGCCAGGCGCGACCACACCAGCCGACGGACAACCGAAAAAATACCCACATCCAGCCAGGAAGGGGCAGACGTGAGACCGAGCGACCGAGGGCCACAGCGACCGACGGACAACCGACGGACGACCGAAAAATAACCAAAACAGCCAGGAAGGGGCAGACGAGAGACCGAGCGACCGAGGGCCAGCCGAGGGCCAGGCGCGACCACAGCAACCGACGGACAACCGACGGACAACCGAAAAATAGCCAAAACCAGCCAGGAAGAGGCAGACGAGAAAGCGAACGACCGAGGCCAGCTGAAGGCCAGGCGCGACCACAGCAACCGACGGACAACCGACGGACAACCGACACATAACAAAAACCAGCCTGAAAGGGGCAGACGAGAAATCGAGCGACCGCGGGCCAGCCGAGGGCCAGGCGCGACCACAGACACCGACGGACAACCAACGGACAGCCGAAAAATACCCAACACGAGCCAGGAAGGGGCAAACGCAAGACCGAGCAACCGAGGGCCAGCCGAGGGCCAAGCGCGACCGTAACAACCGACGGACAACCGACGGACAACCGAAAAAATAACTAAAAACAGCAAGGAAGCGGCAGACGAGAAACTGAGCGACCGAGGGCCAGCCGAGGGCCAGGCGCGACCACAGACACCGACGGACAACCAACGGACAGCCGAAAAATACCCAACACGAGCCAGGAAGGGGCAAACGCAAGACCGAGCAACCGAGGGCCAGCCGAGGGCCAAGCGCGACCGTAACAACCGACGGACAACCGACGGACAACCGAAAAAATAACTAAAAACAGCAAGGAAGCGGCAG